TCCGGTTTCGGTGTTTGTCTCCAAACCAAATTTGACAAGGGATGACGGAAATTCGTTCCAAAATACATCGTACACCCACCATGTCGGATCAACAACAACCAAAAAGGAAAAAGTAAAAGAATCAATATTGAACTGCGTCAAAATGAAAATAAGGGAGCACGAATTTCGATGTGAAGCAAAACTCTCTGGGAAGACAATACCTGTAATTATTGTACTATGGTTTGATAAAAACATTACAAGGTAAATTCATTCTCTCAATTCGTCGGCCATGATTTTTTCTGACATTTGCCAGCATTTTAAAATCATATAAAATTGGGAATAAAAAAATTAAATTGTTCGCAATTGTTGTTGTTTGAGATTGAAATTGGGAATGTGTGTGTGAGTTTGAGTTTTGAAATTTTAAATTATATTGTTGGCATACCCCAAACTGCCTCTTAATGGTTTTACCTTGTTATGTTTTTACCATGATTTGCATAGATTTTGGTTTTGCTTTTGATGGGTGTGCTCAAAATGTATTCAACAAAAGGAGCGTTCCTTATCTCCCAGAAATAGTCAGAAAAAGTCCGAAGTAGTCAGATTTAGTCCAAAAAGCGTTCCTTAACTCGGAAATGACACCTAAAATGAGAGAGCAACACCCACTGAGAGTGACTCTCATCAGTCCGAAGTAGTCGGATTTAGTCAGAAGAATTTTTTCTGGCAAAATCCTGAAGTGTCAAACTCAACTAAATTTAAATTAACGGAAATTAAAGAATACGCAAAAAGTGAGAATAATCTAAAAAGTAAAAAAAGTGAATTGAAATTGTAAGGAGGCAAAAAATAATTGATATAGTAAGTGTTTATTGTGCTTGTGCTTGTGTGAATGTGTTTTGTACATACATTTCCATTCTTATTTGACGTTAGACTTGTTGTTGCCATTCTTTGGACTAAAAATTTGGTTTTTTGCGTTCCTTTACTTTTCCTGTTATTCTCTTTTAGTGAGCGCATTTTGCTTACGCTCTGGCATTTTGACACTTTTCAGATTTTAGTCCAAAAAGATAAGGAATGAACCTATTATTGAATCATGATATGAATTCGCCTTGTTTACAACAAACACATCATTTTGACATTAGGAAGTACCGCAAGGCGAATTTATACAAGTTGTAAAATCAGCTGATTTCTTCGCCTTACATGTATTTGGTTTTTGCTTTTACTGATTTGACAGCACACCCATCAAAAGCAAAAACAAAATACATGTAAACTTTGGAGCGAATTGAGATTTGACATAACACCCTCCATACAAAATACATATGGTTGTCGTTGTTGTAATCTAAATTCGCCAGTAACACCGCCAAGGCGAATTTATATAAGGTGGTGTTACTAGCTCAGCTGATTTTGTGTATGTGTTTCGCCGCACGGCTTCTGATATCAAATTGAAAAATTTTGTTTGAATTTCTACACACACTCTTACAGATTTTGACAGTTTATACCGCCAAAGCGAAAACAAAATACATGTAAATTTTTGTTTTTGTACTCCTGCTATCACCTTATATTAATTCGCCTTGAACAGCCTTGTATAAATTCGCCTAGGCAGCAACGTTTCTCTTTACTTGACGTTTACCTTTTCACCTGTCGGCGTTGTATGGACTTTGTATCTGGCGCAATAAGACTTCGTACATTTTAGCTTTTGTCGAATTTGTTAATTATTAAAGATGTCGCTTGCTTCTGATGCCGTATTTCAAAAAATTATTGATGGCGTGAAGGAAAACGAAGCCAAGGCAAAGGCTATCAATGGTGTCTTCCTCTATAAAATCACCAAAGATGGCAAAGTGGCAAAGGAATGGAGTGAGTAGTATATTAGGATAGTTAAATATTATAAGGTGTGACTTGCCTTTCAATTTAAAGCATCTACATATGTATGTACGATGTATATACATAGGTACGTATGTATATATGTATATATGCTGTATATAAAGACAACTATAAAAGTTTCATACCAAGTTTTAATATAATCGGAATGTGGAGTTCAATGTCCAAAAAGAAATTTGTCGCAATTAATGAAACCATGTGTTTATATGTATTTCTTTTGAGCAGATAATACATTTTAACAAATTTTTCTGTGTAGCTTTGGACTGCAAGAATGCTAAAGCATACGAAGGACCTGCCAAGGATATTAAAGTCGATACTACGCTGACTGTGGCGGATGAAGATATGGTGGACATTGCTCTCGGGAAACTAAATCCACAGGCCGCCTTCATGAAGGGCAAACTCAAGATTTCGGGAAACATTATGTTATCCCAAAAGCTGGCTCCTCTTCTCAAGACAGATGCTAAGTTGTAAAGATTTAGCATGTAATAATAAAAATATTCATTCCGTGTCGGGATTATAAAAAGTACATATACATACATACATAAATTGGTATTGTAATTCATGTTTAAATATATGGGAGGCAGGGTAAACGATTAATTAAATTCAAATGAAAAGGACATATTAACATTGTTTTATGAGCATAATAGTTGTATTTAAAAAAATAATAAATAAATAAAATGCCAATTCTGAATACTAGCTCAGATTTCAATCAATTTGTCTTATCATTTTTTCGAATGTCTTATCAAAAGTGCTTTATAAGCTGAAAGTTTGTTTGGGATAAGATTACCGGGTTGTTGTTGTTGTTGTTGTAGCGGCTACCGGGTCAGTTTTGTTGCTTCAAAGAATAACGCGAAAACGCTGTTTTTAAGGTAATTATAATCTCATGAATAATTAATGGTATTTTAATTTACTTCTAGGTACTATATTTAAATGATTGGTGTCGCATAGGGTGGGGCTCATTA